ACCAACATCGCCATTATACAGCGTGCCCAGTCCAAAATACTCCGAACCATCACGAACGCACCATGGTATGTACCCAACCACACCCTACATACAGATCTAAAAACTCCTTACGCAACACAAGTCATCCGAGAAAACAGCACCAACACTTCAACAGCACTTCAACAAACTATAAAATCACTCCAACTCACTTCTTTAACCACTACTTCAACCTCACCAAAATCGAAGACTCAAAAGAATTTGGCCACCAGATCTAAGGAACCGAGGAAAACACAACTGGATGTTTATTCCGCTCACGCCATGAAGAGTGTACAATAAATGGTTAGTAAACTGTACACCAATCAGCACATTGACTTACAGATTGTACAGTCTGATTGTCAGTAAAGGAGAAGAAGAAAAATTTATCCTGACGAGGCTGAGTGGACCCCGTTGCAGATCCACTATTTCTCAGAAAATTTGATAGCGTCGGGAATCGAACCCGGGACCTCTGGATTTTTAGTAAAAAAACCTCTGACCACTAGACCACAGAGGACAGCAACCGAAAATAAAATCGGGCTATGACTTAATTCGTTCGCATTTTGTATAATTCCTGATTTACACACTTATCCTACAATTCGATGCTACATAATTTATGATGCTGATAATATGTTGATAAAAATATGAAGAACCAACCAACATTGTTACACTCTGCTTTACCCAGAACCATGTATTACACCCAATGTATGGCTTGAAGTACCAAATGGCTTAAGTGTTTCTTCTTTCCTTCATTCGTGTAACAAATCAGATCCTGTAATCCAGTTTGATTTTATCACTGCAATGAGAGGCTAAGAATAAGTGACTCCATAGAGCACAGTATCCCTCAACAGGAGTTAAGAGTCGATTTCAAGATATTTGCCACCTTTACGACATCCGAAGGTCTATTATCGTGTTCGCAGGAGCCCAGTAATGGTTACTACGCTGATATAAACGAACCTGATCGATACTCTAATCTCCATTGCTTTTTCTTTGGCGCTACAGCCCTAATTTGGACCTTGGCCTACCTCCATGAAACACTCCGTTTCGCTTCGGTTTACTAGATCTTAAGATATTCGGGTAGGACTTCTTGGGCGTGTGATCAGCTCGTCGCAAGGCCTCTACCTGTACAAAAACACACACAAACACTAAACATCCATGCTTTGTGTGGGATTCGAACCCACGATCCCGACTTCCGAGAGAGCGAAGACAGTACATGACTTAGACCGCTCGGCTACCGTGACGAGCCCTCCACTATTTTACCTTCATTTAAACTATCCTCCCATCTGTGCTATTCTGCTGAGTGCTTCCTTCAGTTTTCCAGCCAAAGATTTCTTAAATAAAAGCCATACGCTCACCGTTAAGTCAGTTTATCTGTTCCTGTGATCATGCGTTAACCACAGTACAACTACTGTTCGCCATTGTACTTTTCAAAGCATCTTCAAGGTTTGTGTCTTCAATAATTTGATGTAACATGGCGCTAATTACTTCGAGTGATCCTTCACAATTAACTTTATATTTCGTTAAGAATCAAAGTTTTAGAATGGTCGACATTTATGAAATTATATGCAACACCCCTTCTTTATTCAGTAAGGGTTTATTAAAGATAGGCAGCGGCACACGCACAGAGAGCCTACACAGAACAATACCTGAACAGCGATAAAACAAGAAGTGGCCGCTGCATTACTATAGATATAGGGCGAGTACCCCGAGAAATTTTAATTTTTAAAATTTGGAAAAAGAAAAAGAACGGAAAATTTAAAGACATTTTAATTTGAATTGAAGTTTAAAAAGTGCCAATTTTGGAATTCAAATTGACGTGTGTAGGTTAACAAAGATTTTATACATACATGCAATTGGAAAGACTGGTGTTTTAAATTTTAAACTACGGGCAGTGTAGCAGCTACGTAAGAATATACACCTGATGATGGCCATTTAGGGCCGAAACATGTAGTGTAGAGGAAGGAAAGAAGAAAGAACTACAATTAAATTGTTGCACTTAAGACGGAGTTTGTCTCATATCTCATATATTTATATATCTGTTGAATCATGTCCGTGCGTGTGTGTGTCCCAGTAACTTTCGAACGAACTGAGTGATTCATGAAATTCGGTGCGAATACAATGGTGCTGGAACCCTCCCCAACTTTGTTCCTTTAAATTTCCTGTCATCACTCACTCAGGCTGAGTTGGGAAGAGCAGTATACGTAGATGTATGACATGTGTTGGTGCACAAATGATTGTAATCGTTGCGACTGTAAGGAGGACACTAGTGACACCTGTAGTTGGCTAGGGAAGACTACGTTACGCAAGTGGAAACGCTTCGTCAGCATTGCAGTAAATCGTGAAAATGAAAGTTCGTTTTTGCAGAAAAAGAACCTTTGTCATTTGGCACGTGTTTACCAGAATAACGCTCGTTTTACGTTAACTCCATTTAGAGCATTACCGTTTAGTTAAAAAGACTTTACAGAAAATTGGAAAAGTAACTTAAATTATATACACGTTTATATAAATTTAAATTTTTTATAAGATTTTAAAGTTTACATGGCGGTAAGGAGTCTGAATGATGATACCTGCGGCATGGCTGGTGATTACCGACGTTTCGGAGGAATATACTGACGCTGATCAGTCTTGGCACTTATTTATTTGGATGATTATAAATGACCATGAACTTTATTTCTAATTTATTCTCTGTAATTTTTAATTTCGAAATCTTATGTTTCGATATTACTGGAACTTTATTGTGTTCTACAATACCGTATTTCATTGTCTGGGACGTGCAATACGGTGTTTATTTTGAAATTTATAGATTCTGGCAGGGCCAAGGAGTCCGGAGTTCTAACATCTACGAGCAGTCATTAATTTATCTCGGGTACAGGAAACCGGACGCGCCTACAAAAATCAGTGAAAAGGACAGGTCAGAACTCGTTACAATTGCCTGAGAATGAGGGCCATTATGACTGAGTTGCCTCCTTCAAACTTCCTTGCGGGAGATGGAATGACATTTATATGTCCGCACCATGGAGAATTCGAATTTTTCGAATTCCCAGCGTGGGTTGTGCAAGCCATTCCACGAGAAGTCTTTCCCCATATTCTGAAGTATACGGACGTGAGCCTTGCACGCTCCGAGACCCAGTTCACAGATCAAGTAATATATTGTAGTTGTAAGCATTAACGTACAATGAATTAACAGTGTGGTTTGGAGAACAGTAAGTGAATAATCGTCAAGTTGGATCAACTCCCAGAATACCACTACCTGAGTCTCATGCAAACCGACCCAGCTAGTTTCCCATACCTATACCGACCTGAGGGCAACTTCTAGTGATCATCATACACTCTCCTAAAGGCGTGCTCGTGTGACTCGCTATGCTCGCGTGTAATGTGGACGGCATGACAAGTCACGAGACAAGCAAATTTTAAATTATTAATTTAATTGGCTATAGCCAATAAATTAAAATACGACTACAGCCTATACACACTACGAGTAAATATACGGATCCTCACGCGTCGAAGCCTGGCGAGCAACTGAAGTAGTGTGGACGAAGATTTACGAACACAAGTAAAACCCAAACGGTCTCCCGACGAGCACAAGCCTGGCGAGCACGAGCACGAGTAATGTGGACGCGCCTTAAGGTAGAAACAGGTGTAGCAGGGATGGCACCATTCCGACTGAGCTGATATAACAAAGGCGAGTTGGAAAGGAGCGGTGTTAATACTGCCTCCTTTTTCACGGTAGAATTATTTATTCTATCTACAGTGATTATTGTGTGAAAACAAACTATAATATGAAATTATGTCTTTCATTTTACAAGGTTCTTATATGGTTCTCTAAGAACATACAATAAATATTAGTCATTGGTCTGCAATATGATTTTTTTTCTGTGGCGCTACAGCCCCAATTTGGGCCTAGGCCTACCTTCATGAAACTCTCCGTTTCACTTCGGTTTACTAGATCTTACACATACGGTAGGACTCCTTGGGCGAGTGATCAGCTCATCGCAAGGCCTCTACCTGTAGACAAACACAGAAAAACGCACACAAACATCCATGCCCTGAGTGGGATTCGAACCCACGATCCCGGCTTCCGAGCGAGCGAAGACAGTGCATGCCTTAGACCGCTCGGCTACCGTGACCGTCACAATATGATATATTTAGCGTAATTAGCGTTGAAACATGAACACCAGTGATCTGTACAAAAGCGCACACGTTGACCCTGAAAAGTGTGTGTAATTTATTTTCTTGTTATATGGAGTTCGAAAGAGATTTGTAGAACTGCAAGATAGTCCTGATATGTCGAGTGAAGTACACACAGTCCAGCCCCTCCATCAGCTCTATTCAGAGGAGTGTTTGAAAGAGCTATGGACTTGGTCGTTCTGAATAGGAAGCATAAATAAAGTGCATTGAGTCACAGTTCTTCTCCGTATTAGACGCGATAGCGTATGCTGGGGACATCAACATCTGTTGTGTAGGAATGCAGAACATGTACGCGAATCCCAAAGAAACTGTGACATGAAACATTTTTAAAAGGACACAGAGAGGACCCAAGCCTCGATTTGTCTCTTGCCGTGGGCGGAGGAGGGGGAAACATGCTATCGCCCTCCGCCCACTCTGTTCTCCTGCTGCTTGGAGCTGTCTACTCTTGAGGAACTGCCGCCACTTAGGGAGTAATGAGATTGGACAGGGGTGCACAGCTCTCTGAGTCACTCTCACCCTAACAGCTAGACTCATAGAGGCACTAATTAATCGGATAAATTAACATCAGACACAGGGGCGACATGCATTCCTCCTTGTCACAGTCACCAGAAGCACTGAGATATGACTAACGTCATGAAGAGGAATCTTTCTTGCTAATCTGAGAGCTCCTTAGCTGTTCAGCCTGGCAGTTATGTAACCCGAAATTCCATTACCGCCTCTGCAAACTTTCGTGACGGGAACAAATCCTGAGCCAGCAGAATCCAGTTGACCCTCACTTATTATTTAAATATCGTCCTTACCTCTAAAAATCAGTCTCCTAAATCGTCTCTTTCCTTCGGGGTTTCCGACTCAAATGTTGCTTGTATTCGTATTTCCTCTCTGCATGCTGTATGTCCCAGTCATCCTAACAAAACACAAAAACGTGGAAATTTGTATTATTTGAATAATAATAATATCACGTATCCTGGTAACGCGACAAGAAATTAATGGATTCTAGAACACACGAAGCTATTTTTTTGGATAAGTTGTTTACAATTATAATTACAGTCACTCAGAAATAGCGTCTTTCAGACGATGCGACCTCGCTAGTCCGTCGATTTCTAGTTCTTGGCTGATCTGATTTCTTCTGCTCTGACCTGTTCTCAATTCCTTTCTGTCCTCCTCTGATCTCTTATCTTCTATAGTAGGACGGACTAGAAGACAAACTCTTCAAGGGTTTATTTTCCCATGTTAGCTAGTATATCGGTAGCTGGTATATTCGTTGCCGCGGGGACGTGTTTTCATTTTATGGAACACGTTGATTTCATCTCTAGCGTATTGGTTGTTGCTGGAACAATGCTAATTGTGCCGTTGCCAGCAATGGACGTCTCTTATTTTTAGGCTTCAATATTCCGACTTTTTAAGCAGTGTTTACCTAGCGTTGTTCAGGAATGGTCTATTCTAGCTTGTTGTTCCGGCCACCTTTTAGCAAGCCGTTGACTAACAATGGAAGTCCGCTCTGACTCAAGATATTCCGGATTTTAGGCGGCACGCCACAGCGCTAATAATTCAATTCAATTCAATTCAATTCAATTCATGTTTATTTACGTGCAATAACTTAACAGCCCAGCGGCCAATTACAAAGTTAGCACGAGTATATAAGGTACAAAATAATTAAAACAAAATACAAATACGACAAATAAATCTGTGAACATAGATCTAAAGAAGACTGAAATATATACATACATTTATGAAATATTACGAATGTTGCTAATACTGTTAGTAACTAAATACTAAGATAAGACACCAGTGAGTGATAGCATAAAATTAATAAAATTAATAACCAGTCAATAAATTAAAACCAATTACATAAGAATAATTAAAGCTAGCCGAGGTAACACATATTTGTAGTGAATGAAAACACTAATCAAGTAACACCGTAAAAGGTTTGGTACATGCTTGTAAAATATGATTCAGAGAAACC